AAAAAAATTAAAAAATGCATTGACCCATATCACTTTGGTTTTGTGTATTTCACTGTCCATAAACTATATTTCAATAAAATGTGTTAAAAAAAAAAAGTTTAGTGTTGTGAGGATTCAATGAGATGACTGAAAGTGTCTGGAGCACAGTAGGGCTTCAAGGTTACTTCCTTCTGGAATGCATCACCTTATTTACAGGATTTTGGAGCATAAAAACAGCCATCAGGCAGTGCAGAGCTCTAGTTTAGAAGTCAGTAGTAGACCTAGGTTCTAGCCCTATTTCTACCACCTGTGACCTTGGGTCTGCTTTATGGGTTTCAGTTTCCTCACCTATGAAGTGAAAGAGGTGAATCACCACATGATCTCCAGGTGACTTCTGGATGTGAAAATCCACCCTCCACCCCTCACCCCCCAGCACTGTATATATGAGCCAGGTGAGACAATGTCTCAACTCCCGCACTCCAGTCCCAATCCCAAAAGATCATATAACTAGCTCCACCTTTTATAGCAGAACCACCTTTTATAGCAGAAAATTCGGTGGACCCATGGGTCCATTCTGAACCTCTGCAAGAATCACCCACTACCACCTATCCGCGGCAGAGTTAACTCGGGCGTGGGGCCTCCGTCTGTGTCAGAGCAGAACTGGGCTTACAAGGTTTTCAGTGGCTGATCTTTCCGAAGTAGATCGCCAGGTCTTCTTACCACATGCCTCTGGGTGCCTAGAACTTCCAACCTTTCAGTTAGCAGCCCAGCTAGTTAACTGTTCACACCACTCAGGGACTACCCTAAACGTCCATACTGCTGGTAAAACAGCACTTCAAAGTAACAGTGTCGTAAGCCGCAGGCACAAGCAAACTGTTAGTTAAATACCCGTAATAAAAGATACAGATTACACTGCTGCTAAGAGCGACAAACATAACGCTAGGACGAACACCAAACCCACTGCCAGCGATTCCATTCAGACTCAGCAACCCCCACTGGGTTTCCGAGGCTGTCAATCTTTACGGAAGTAGATTGCCCAGTCTTGTTTCCACAGAGTGGCTGCTGTTGTTGTTGTGCCGTGGAGTCGGACCCGATTCATAGCGACCCCTCCTTGGGTTTCCGAGGCAGTATCACTACGGAAGTAGACTGCCCAACCTTCCTTCTGAGGAGCAGCTGGTGGGTTTGAACCGCCAGCCTTCTAGTTAGCAGTCAAGTACCTTAAGCACTACGCTATGAGAGCTCCTGGTGGGTTTGAACTACCAACCTTCTGGTTAGCAGTCAGAGGCCTTAGGCACTGTGCTACCAGAGCACTAGTGCCCTAATTCGAAGTACTCTTAATAACTACAGACTTCACCCGAGGAGCTTCCTTCCACTTTCCCGAATTCGGGTATACCGGGACAGCGGCCACGGGTACTGGCGCAGTCGGTTGGAAAGGAAGTGCGGATCTCGCCCGAAAGAAAGGTTAGGCGAAAAGCTGAGCACACGTACCTTAACTAACGCCCGCTACAGCTCCGACTCGGGGTAAGCTTCCGACCCAAGTGGCAAGATTCCTCCAGACCTAGAGGCCCTGCTCAGATAGGACCCTTGTCTCCCACGCCCCACCCGCGAGTTCGCAGGCTGCCCGCCGACCGCCTGACTGAAAGGCTTGGTTCTCCGCCCCCTGCTCTATGGGTCTCCTTTCTCCAGTGAAGACAGTGTCCTTTCAGTCCAGTAACCTGGGAGCAAAGGACAGAGTTAAGGGGCCGGCGGTTAACTCCGTATCTGGGTTTTAGTTGGGCAATACGTTGGGCGCCTGGCCAGGGCCAGGCTACTGGGAAGAAAAGTCCTCTGCTTGGCAGCACCTGCTTGAAACACTTTCCACTTTTGTCCGCTTTTCAAGATGGTGGCCTCCCGGGCGATTGGCAGCCTCAGCCGCTTCACTGCTTCTAGAACCCTTCGCTCTCCAGGTGAGGCCTAGTGGGCTGCGCCCGGAGCCCGGGGTAGAGCTCTTGCGGGAAGTAGGGCAGCTGCGGAGCTGCTTCTTCCCCTTGCTGCCTCTTTGCCGCAGTTTGGGGACCCACCCCACAAAGGGGGAGACATTGCCCAGAGACCCCGTCCCTTGTGCCCTTGTGAAGGGACTGCGACTTCCTCTCCCACAACTCCGAGCCCTGAGGCGATTTCGGGGTCCGTGATCTTTAACTTTTCAACTCAGTCTGGCATGTTCCGCAGATCTCCGCGTCGCACTTCTGGACTCACGCCCCTCTTACTTTTTTTGATGATAGCCATAGACCTGCCCTTCTAGATTGGGAGTTCCAGGAGGACTGGGACCCAGTCTGTCACATCTTTGTAGTTTCACAGCCCCTGCCCGTGCCAAGCGCTGTCTTAAACGCTTAACTGGAATTAACCAGCTTTGCAGGTTACTCTCATTCCTTGCTCTTTCACTGTAAAACCATTTTTATACCTGTCATTTTTATTCCTGCAATTCCAGGAATCAGTATTAATGTATATGGTATGTTGAAGTTGAACGGGAAGTTCTGCAGCTTGCTAGAAGAGATATTACGATATCTATGCATTTGTATCTTAAGGAGTAAAGTGTTGGATCATTTTAAATACTATTTCTAATCTTGTTTCTGACAATTCCGGGTTAACGTGCGTAAGCTATATTAACTTTTTCTCCTTACACTGGATGTGAAAGGGTTAAAGAGCATGCTTATAAAAACCAAACATTTTCCTCCCATACCGAATCTGTAAGGTGAAATGTGACTAACTTCTTATTGCATGTTGTACTTAATTACTAAATTAGATATTTAATTTGTAATATGAATTCCCTCTCTGGTGGCATAGTGCCTAAGGCAGCTGACTGCTAACCAGAAGGCTGGCGGTTCAAACCCACAAGCACTTCTGGCAAGGAAGATTGGGCAATCTACTTCCATAGACATACCACCTGGGAAACCCAAGGAGGGGGTCGCTGTGAGTCCAATGGACTGGGCGGCAGTGAGTTTTTTTCTTCCGCCTAAAAAAAGAGATATCCTATGGGGCAGTTCCAAAGTTTCACTGTGAGTTAAAATCAACTCAATGGCAGTGTATTTATAGAGTTGTTAAAGGAGCTTTAGGAGCTCGGGTGGCGTAGTGCCTAAGGCATTTGACTGCTAACCAGAAGGCTGGCAGTTCAAACTCACTAGCCACTCCTGGGAAGGAAGTTTGGGCAATCTATTTCTGTAGTGATTGTTGTTGTTGTTGTTGTTATGTGCCCTCGAGTGGGCTCATAGCGACCCCTCCTTGGGTTTCCAAGGCGGTATCACTGCAGAAGTAGATTGCCCAAACTTCCTTGCGACGAGTTGTTGTTGTTATGTGTCGTCCAGTCGGCCCGACTCATAGCGACCCCTCCTTGGGTATCCGAGGCAGTGTCACTACAGAAGTAGATTGCCCAACCTTCCTTCTGAGGAGTGGCTGGTGGGTTTGAACCGCCAGCCTTCTGGTTAGCAGTCAAGTGCATTAACCACTATGCTACCAGAGCTGCCTCGGAAACCCAAGGAGGGGTCGCTATGAGTCGGATTCGACTCCACGGTAGTGCCTTTCATTTCATTTTTTTTCCATAAAGGAGCTATGTTGGATTAGTGGTTAAGTACTTGAATGCTAACCAGAAGGTCAATGGTTCGAACCCACCAGATACTCTGCAGTAGAAAGATGTGACAGTCTGCTTCTGTAAAAATTGCAGCCTTGGAAACCCTGAGGCACTTCTACTCTGTCCTGTAGGGTCACTGTGAGTCAGAATCGACTCAGTGACAGTGGGTTTGGGTTTGGTTTCACTGGTGAGTATGATTCATTATAGTTACTGCCTCTTCTAGTACCGATTTATTAAAAAAAAAAAAAAAAAAAGTCTAGATTGTGAATTTAAAATTATCTACATACCTGAATTTGCCATTTAGACTCAACATACTGATTTCTCACCAAAGCATTGCCAACATTTAGTGTGATTGTGACATTTACTGGTGAATAATTAAGTTCCCATGCAGCTGACTTTTAATTCTTGAATTTTAAATCCATCCCTATGCTACTGGTGCTGTAATTCTTAATATGACTGTCCAAAATCATATTTTGACCAAAATATCTTGTCTGATCCCCACTTCTGTCTTGAATCTAAATTCCTAATTATATAAGTGGCAAAATAGACTGGAAATGAATTTGAGGTGAATACTTAGTAGACTTGTTGTTGTTGTTGTTGTTATATGCCGTGGAGTCGACTAAGTACATTTAAATTTGCCTCTCACTTTCCTAATCCCATTCCTTCCCCCAGGAAGTTTTGAGAAAAACTTGATTATTACAACTGAAATAACAGATTTATAATTTGTTTCAGCATTAATCCAGCTCTTCTCACTGATTATAGTTTTATGGGGTCTTGTGGTTATTTTCTTGAGTTGAATTAACAAAGATGTTTAGAAAGTAGGGCAAAGGTGACTCTCTCAAGCTTGCATAGTAGATATAGGATAAAGTTCACCCAGCTGCTGTAAACTGCTGATTAAGTGGTGGGTGTGGCAAAATACCAAAAGTGGTACCTTGTAACCCATGCCCAGACCTCCTGACCTGCTCTCTTTTTTGCTTGGGCAATTATTCTCTGACATACTTATTCATGTGTTTATCATATTTCTTGGGTTTTGTCTGTCTTCCCACTTCATTCCTCCCAACCAGTCCATTCCCTCTGTAAATCACATTATCCTACTCTAGTTAGAATTACCTGTCTCTTGCTTCTCCTCCCACTGGAATTTTTAGTGCTTTGCAGGCAGCTCCTTTTTATGCCAGGTCTATTTTCACCTTCTCATTTACCTCCACTAAGTAGAGTCAGTTTTTTCTGGATGTCATCCCCTTTTGCCCTAAAATGTAAGCTCCACGAGGATAGGAATGTTAGTCTTTTTGTTCACTCCAAGTTCTTAGAACAGTGCCTGCCATAAGCTAGATATTGTATCCCCCACTTTTTGAAAGTTCACTTTCTACCTCTTCACTTTTACAAAAGACATATTAGTACTGCATATTTTTGTTGAATGAATGACTGTGAGATAATACTGGAAACTAAACCTACTACCCTGGAGACGATAACAACTCATAGTGACCCATTGTGACAGAGTAGAACTGCCCCAGAAGTTTTCCAAAGCTGTGATCTTTATGGGAACAGACTGCCACATTTTTTAATGCAAAGCACCTGATATGTTATAACCACTGACATTTTGGTTGGCAGCTAAGTGCTTTAATCGCTTTGCCATCAGGGCTCCTCAGTGTTGGAAGAGATTGCAGTTTAGTTGGGGAAACACTTGCTACAGATGCAGTGATTAGAGAATGTGGTAGACCATGAATATGATAGACAAAGGAAGACAGACCAGGGTGTTTTTGAAGAAGACTGAGAGTTGTTATTAAGAGATTTGTGCCTTTGCTGGCCTCCAGAACAGTCTGGTTGCCACCTGGAGCAAAATGTTGGGATAGGAGTGAGGCAAAAATTGTAGAAAACAAGTAGAGTAATGCCCAAAACGCTCTGGTGGTGTCCGCCTAAGGCATTTGACTGCTAACCAGAAGGCTGGCAGTTCAAACCCACCAGCCACTCCTTGGAGGGAAGGTTGGGCAATCTACTTCCGTAGTGATACCGCCTCGGAAACCCAAGGAGGGATCACTATGAGTCAGAGCCGACTTGATGGCACACAGCAACAACAACAATGCCCAAAACAAACTTGGAAATTTTTGCCTGGAATTCCCATATGTTCCTTACCTTCTAACCGGAGTCCAGATTGAAGGCCCTTTCTTTGGAACTTCACTTAGAATAAAACCCATTGCCATTGAGTTCATTCCAATCTCATGAAATAAGTTCACCAATCAGGCAGTAATATTATCATAAACCAAAAAAAACCAAACTCACTGCCATAGAGTTGATTAGACTCATAATGAACCCTCCTCGGGTTTCCGAGGCGGTATTTAAATCTGTGGAAGCAGACAGTCCAGTTTTCCTTCCGAGGAGTGGCTGGTGAGTTTGAACCACCAGTCTTCTGGTTTACAGTCTTAGTCTTAATCTTCTGGTTAGTAGCCTTCGGCACTACACCACCAGAGCTCCCAATATTATCATATGGGCTTATGATTTTGATAGTTGAAGGCTGGCGGTTCAAACCCACCAACCACTCCTCGGAAGGAAGATGGGGCAATCTACTTCCCTAGTGATACTGCCTCAGAAACCCAAGGAGGGGTCGCTATGAGTCGGGTCCGACTCGACAGCACATAACAACAACAACAAGTTACGCTTTTTCCTGTACAGCCAGTGATCCTAAGGTAGTGAAGTGATTAGGGAAGAAGGAGGAAAGTGGTTGGTCATTGTTATCCAAGGAATAGGAGTATTCCTGATGGAGCGCAGCATAAAGAAACAAAAGCAAACACACTGCTATCGGGTCGATTCCAACTCACAGTGACCCCCATTGAGCTTCCAAGGCTATGAATCTTTTCAGAAATAGATTGCTTCACCATCCTCCTACAGAGCAGCTAGTGGCTTTGAACCACCGGCGTTCTGTTTTAACATCCAAATACCTTACTCATTACGCCACCAGAGCTCCTTGGAGTACAGAACAGACTTGTTCAATTAGAAATATGTGACCCCACTTTAAAACATTTTATCTCTTTTCTTCTTGACCCTTGTAATAACCCAGTGCCTCTAAGGAATGGGCCAGTAAAGCAGTCATAACTAAAAGGAGATAATCACAGAGAGGTGGGGTAGGGGTCTAGGGCATGATGTATAATAGCTTGTATCTGGTCAGAAATCACCAGTCAGTTTTAGGGATATTATAGGTTTTAATCATCAGAACTGTGACCTTGAAATTACTTCAACTTCTCTATGAACGTCATTCTAATTTGATTAGAGTACTAGAAATAGAGAGGAGATAAGAAGTTTAAAGGGAAGTTACTAATACAAATTATACTTTGACCAGCACAATAAAAACAGCAAAATGTGGCATGGAATGTTTCACTCATCATAGCCACTATTGCTCCTTGATTTTCTTTTGATTAACCAGAAAATCTGTCTTTCCAGAAAAATGCAAGAGGATGTGGCTAGAGAACCTAATTGGGAAATATTTTGAATACATTTGGAGCTGCCGTTATGTATTAATTTGTAGGTTATTTATTGCTTGGTGTATTAGTTTCCTATTGATGTTGTAACAAATTATCACAAATTTAGTGTCTCAAACAATACAAATTTATTTTAAGTTCTGAAGATCAAAAGTCTGAAATGGGTCTCACTGGTCTGTTGGCATTTCTCTTCCTTTTCTAACATCTGGAGGCTGCCTACATTCCTTGGCATGTTGCTCACATCCACCTTCCATAAAGCTAGCAACATTGGACCAAATCCTTCTCATGCTGCCATCTCTCTAATTCTCTTCTGCCGCTCTTCCCCCTTTGTGATTACGTTGCACTCACCTGGATAATCCAGTCTAATCTCCCTATGTTAAAGTCAGATGATTAGCAGCCATAACTCCATCAAAACCTTAATTCCCATTTGCCAAGTAATTTAATACAGTCACAGATTCTGGGGATTTAGAATGTGGACATCTTTACCCATTGCTGTCAAGTCAATTTCAACTCCTAGTGGCCCTATAGGGCAGAATAGAACTGTCCCATTGGGTTTTCAAGGCTGTACATCTTTACAGAAGCAGACTCCCTCATCTTTCTCTCCCATGGAGCACCTGGTGAGTTTGAACCCCTGACCTTTCAGTTAGCAGCCCAGAACTTAACTGGGCCATTGAAGGGGAGGAGGACATTCTTTGGTCTGCCATATTTAGTATCTAAATAATTATATAACCTGATCATTGAAATGAAAAAGTTGTGGTGCTAGTTAGGTACCCTGATGGAACTTGACTACAGTGGGTATGATGGTAGTAGCCCTTTATATATAACACATGCTACAGAAATTCTGTTTTGCAGAATAATTAATTTTGAATACTTTTTTCTTATAGGTTATATTTGCCGCTACTTTACAAGGTCCTCTACTTTGCTGGGTAAGTTTAATTTCTTGTTGACATGTTTACATTGATTTTCAGATTTATTTAGCAATAGACATGTTTATAAATGTTTTCCTTCTCTTTCTAGCCAGAGCCCACGTTAACTATGGAGTCAAAGGGGATGTGGCAGTTGTTCGAATTAACTCACCAAATTCAAAGGTACCTAGTTTAACTTGCTGCAGTTTATATTTACTAACCACCTTAATGACTTCAGTCCTGAATGAGAATGAAATTAACTCAACCAATCTGGCAGTAATATGGGCTTACAGTTTTGTTAGTTATATTGGTAGGGTTTGACAAGAAAGGCAGATTTCGGAAGCTGGGGTTCTTATGTAAGAATTTCTGCTAGTTCACCTTGGGTGTCAGCTTAACATTAAGGATTAACAAGACTAGCCTTCTGCTGCAGTGTAGAATGGGGAATTGACTTATTAGATAAGAACTGATGTACAGACTTAGCTTCTAAGAATCAGAACTCGCCTTCCCATCTTAAATATGAAGTTATTAAATCTACTTTCTCCATTACTTGCCTCTGACATAAATTATTATTCATAGTGAGTAAGTTGGCTGGGTTAAATGGACAGTTGTACTATTCTTCCAGAAGGATCTGAATGACTGTGCAGTTCACATAATGGAAGTCAGGTTTCTGTTCAAAGTGGAACTTCATTTGTTCTTGGCACTTCACCAAAGTACACGGCATAACTAAGAAGAGCTTTATTGCAGGTTCTCATGCTTCTCCCCCACCTAAAATTGATGTAAAGATTTGATACTTTAGAAATCTTGACAACTAACATAGATTAAGAAAATGAGTCATTATCTTCACTAGAGTAAATCTTAGCACCCCTGACCAATAAGTCAAATTTAAGATACTTTGTCAGAGTCTTTCCAAGTTGAATATTTTCCAGAACATAAAAGTAATACATACCTATGGTAGAAAATTTTAA